GTGTCTGCAGCTCAAATGCCAATACGAAAGATAGAAAAAAATCCCCAAATGAAATTTCTCTTGATTTTCTCCAGAGCATGCTAATTCTGAAAGAGCTTCTAAAAGTTGCCATTTGAAAACATTGCTTTGACCTCCAGCAACCTAAATCCCTTTTCCTTTCAGTGAATATAAGTAGATTTTCAAAACTATTTATGTGACTAAACCCACAGTTTATCAAAACCACACAACCAGGCCACAAGTTTTTATCCTGTTTTGGAAGACCATTTCATCCCCAGGTATCTGAACCACCATGCCATGGTCTGGTTTAATCAAACAGATATTTTAAATACCTTAAGCAGTATATAGTGTCTTCTTCACTGTAGAGTTATATCAAGTGTGTCTTCCCATGCAGATCTGAACTAACATTTGCAAAGATTTAAGCTAATGTACTGTGCTATCAGCTAAAACAACTGTCATGGTCTGCACAGACCAGTGGTCCACAGCTTCCCCTGTTATTGGGGTAATCACATATGGCAAAGGTAAATAACCCTTTCTACTGACACAGTGAAATTTGGCAGAGCTCAGCTCCCAGAAGCCCATATCTTCACTGGAGGTGGAGGATGTACATGAGGATTTCTGGGGTCAGATCCCTTTGTTCTTCTTGCTGCCATTAAATAAGACCCCCTACCTGGAGCACTGTGTCCAGCTCTGGAGTTCTCGGCACAGAAAAGACATAGACCTGTTGGAGCAGGTCCAGAGGAGGCCACAAAAATGATCACAGGGATGGAACATCTCTCCTATGAAGAAAGACTGAGAGAGTTGGGGTTGTTCAGTCTGAAGAAGAGAAGGGAGACATTATTGCACATTTCAATACTTAAAGGGGGCCTATAAGAAAGATGAGGACAGACTTTTTAGCAGGGCCTGTAGTGATAAAACGAGGGGAAATGGTTATAAACTAAAAGAGGGGAGATTTAGAGTAGATAGAAGGAGGAGATTTTTTACATTGAGGGTGGTGAAGCACTGGCCCAGGTTGCCCAGAGAGGTAGGAGAAGCCTCATCCCTGGAAACATTCAAGGTCAGGCTGGACAGGGCTCTGAGCAACCTGATCTGGTTGGAGATGTCCCTGCTCACTGCAGGGGAGTTTGACTAGATGGCTTTGAAAGGCCCTTTCCAACCCAAACCACTCTCTGATTCTATGATTCTACAGTCATCTTCCACTGAACTGTGAGGAAATGAGATGTCCTTCCAGACACAGGGAAGAACCAAAGGACTGTTTTGAAAACACATCACATACCAACACTTACTGTACCTAACTCTCTATCAATACATACCAGATACCATCTCACACCAAAACATAAAGAACACCTAGAATTGTTATATATTACTTCAATGTTAATACTTTCTCTTATCTACCACAGCAAGTGGTGAGGAGCAGAACTCACTAGAAGATTCAGTGCCTGGAGGTCAAAAGTCACTATGGAAGAAATTTTTAGAATGGATAAAAGAAAAATTTACACCCAGAGGTAAGAGGGTGAGAAATGCTCCTGAGAGTTACATGAGCCAGTTCTGGGTGAGGTGGTTATCTCACCAGCAAGTCCAACAATAACCTACTATGACAGATCAGGTCCTGTACACAGCAGAGTCATGGGAACAGGGCTGAATTAACTGCACTGATTTGGGCTCTGCTGTTCGGCTCCCTGCCCTGTACAGCTTTGCACACTGCAGGCGTTCCCCAGTAAGCCCTGGGTACTGGGGACACAGAAAGACTGGGCAGCCTGTCCCTGCAGAGATGAGGATGCAAGCTTAGACATAAGAAGTTTAGAAGTTGTCAATGTCTATAAATATCTGAAATGTGGAGGCCAAATGCATGGGGCCAGGCTCTTTCTGGTGGTGCCCAGTGACAGGACAAGGGGCAATGGGCACAAGCTGGAGCACAGGAGGTTCCACTTAAACATAAGGAAAAACTTCTTTACTGTGAGGGTGCCGGAGCCCTGGGACAGGCTGCCCAGAGAGGGTGTGGAGTCTCCTCTGGAGAGGTTCCAAACCCACCTGGACACTTTCCTGTGCAACCTGGTGTTTTTTGCTTTGGCAGGGGGGTTGGACTGGATGATCTCTTGAGGTCCCTTCCAACCCCCACCATTCTGGGATTCTGTGGTATCCTGGGAATAAACAAATTGAGATGTTTATCTGACAATTTTTGCTTTAGCTTCGGATGATCCGAAACAACTGCGACTGGTATCTGGAGGGGACCGATGTGCTGGGAGAGTTGAAGTTTACCACAAAGGCAAATGGGGGACAGTCTGTGATGACGGCTTCAATATGAACAGTGGCAGTGTTGTATGCAGACAACTTGATTGTGGTGAAGTTGTTTCTGTCTATGGATGGTCTTATTTTGGCCCTGGCAGTGAAGACATCCATTTGGATGACGTGCAGTGTAAAGGAACTGAATCTAACCTTTGGGACTGTGAGCACGCCGGCTGGGGCACACATAACTGTGAACACAACGAGGATGTCGGCGTCGTCTGTTCAGGTAAAAAAAAATATAATAATTTACACACTCTTAAAAATCTTAGATTTCCCTGTTGACCATAAATGCAAGAAACATCAGAGTAGAGCTTGGAAATCAAACTACAGCTGAACTGTGTGCATGTTGTGGAGGGTCCTTGTATTTAGGTTGGTCTGCATGATTGAAGAACAAAAGGATTTCCTGGACAAAATACCAAGATTGGTAGCAGAAAGCACTGAGTATAAAAATGGTGAAAAGAAGGGAGTTCAGAACCACTTTAGTCAACATCTGATTACAGGCCATTCCCAAGACAAGAAAGGCAACCAGTTAAGAGGAGATAGAAGCACATCCAGATGTGAACCAGGCGTGTCCAAACTGAAAATTAAAATTAATACTCTTGTCATAAACGTAACTGAAATCAAAGATTGCATAGCTAGAAACAGCTGATTTTGAAGCAATATAAATCACTGCAAAATAAAAGTAGATTTTTAACTTTTTTTCTATGTTCACAGGTGTGGGACACTCCACGGTTGCACTGACAGGTAAGACAGGGCTCTTGAGACAGAAGTCCATTGACTCTTCACAGTCTCCCCAGATGTTCAGACACTAATTTTTAACTCAAAAATATCACATGATTACAGCTCCTTGGCAGACAGTCTTCTAGAAAGTACATGCTCTGAATTGCTCATTATTACTCCAAATGACCATTTATTCATCCACCTTAATGTTATTTCTGTTCTTTGGATTCTTCTTAGGACTTGTATTTGCCACTCATCTACTACTACTCAGGGAAAACACAAGACAAGTCTTAACACTCTGCGTCTAAGTTTCTGACTCTTGGTTTTTTTACATTTCCTGAAATAATCATAACACCCTGGAAACCTTAAAGTATGGATGTAACTCATGTTTCCTGGGGTTTTTAAGTGCTGAGTTAATTACTAAGGCTCTTCAAAACACACAGTGACAAACAAGTGGGCACTAAAATGTAGATTTCAATCATATGTAGCTCAGAAGTGAAAGGGTGGTTCCCAAAATAATTTATTCTCAAGACTTGAACCTGCAAAAGCCGCATTGTAGTAGTCCTGAACTGTTGCTGCATATTCTGAGCATCTGTTTCTGCACTGTGATGGCACATATCTCTGACAAATATCTCTGAAGTTCATTTAGAACTGCCATTAATCGAAATGTCACTCATGCTACCAGAAGTTAAGGACTGGTGCATGAACCCAGAGCTGCACAAAATGTGATGTTTAAATTATTTCAACAATGTCTCAGTTCTGATGACCACTCTTACAGTTCTCTAATAATTTACTTCCTCTAACTTCCAACATCCTCAAACAAGCCCCAAACTTCCATTTCTGCATCAACATTTTCCACAGACAGCACTGTTGTGACATCTACTGCAGAATCCCTGACCTGTTGGCAAAGGCAAGGGAAAAATACAAACTGCAAATGCCATGGGTGGAAATTTTGAGTCATATATGCAATTTGTTTAGAGCAGACAGTAGGACCACTGGGAATTCACTAAAAATATTCCCTAAGTCTGCATGTAATTAGCCTTGGAAGAGCCAATGTTCAACACTACCTTCATTTTTATAGGAAAATGTGGTTGGAGGGAAAATGGGCATGTGAGTAAGTCTACCTGCATATACAGTTATCAAGACTGCGTGTATGCATGGTGAGATCTTTACAACTGGTTCATCTGAGGCAACCTTACCTGGATATTTCCTTCACCTTTAATTCTTATAATAATCTTACTTAATTTTTCCGGGTTCTTAAGTTAGTGCAAAGGTAGAAAGGAAATAAGGTATGTTTATAACCTGTTGAGAGATACACTAATATCTCAAATTCACTTAAAATTTCTAATGGGAAGATGGTCTTCTGAGTCACTTTACCAAAATTTAAAATTTAAGGAACTGACCTTTTCAGTGGTGGCCAGTGACAGGACAAGGGGCAATGGCCACAAACTGGAACACCGGAACTTCCAGACAAATTTAAGGAAAAACTTCTTTACTGTGAGGGTGCCGGAGCCCTGGGACAGGCTGGCCAGAGGGGGTGTGGAGTCTCCATCTCTGGAGATGTTCCAAACCCACCTGGACACTTTCCTGTGCAATAGGGAACCTGCTTTGGCAGGGGGGCTGGACTGGATGATCTCCTGAGGTCCCTTCCAACCCCACCATTCTGGGATTCTGTGACTTTCTTTTCCATGAAGCCTGAAGTATTAATGATTGCACAGATCCTTGAAATGTCTTTTATTTTACACAGTGGTGTTTCTGTTTAATAACATATTTCCCCACCCCCTGGCCACCTCCACAGATTCCTCCTCTGTACTCACCTCAAGCCAAGCAGAGACTGAGACATCATCAGCTCCAGAGACCTTGACAACCCTTGAGGAAGGTGAGGCACACTTGCCTGCTGAAAGTCATTTCCAAAGCACAAGATAAATGTCATTATTTCCCCTAACAATGGCCAATTTGCATCTTTCCAAATGACTATTGCATCTGTAGCAGTAAAAGAATGCAGTCAGAAATATCTACTATTTTTATTTTTAAATATTAAATGAAAGTGAAAGTCTTTATTTTCTGCAAAAATAAAGGGCTATGCATTTACTCACTGTCCTGCAAAGCCCAAATCTACTTACTTTCATCAAGATTTCAGTTCACATGTTCACTCTTAATTGCTGCCAATCTCTCCTTTTTATTTCCTCAATTTTCTCTTGGCCTCAGTTACATCTTCTGCGTCCACTGTTCTCATAGAGGAAAATGCCATTACAGCTTCTGAAACACCAGTCACAGTTTATAGAGGTAAGAAGAACCATTTTGCAAGTGTTGTTTTTAAAAAATATTCTCTTAATTTGAGTTTTTCAGATGGATTAAGATGTTATCGCATAAATTTGTAAAATATTCACAGCAGACAACTACAAATTAAACATCTCTGTGAAGGAACAACCCCCTTACAACATCTTCATTTTATCAGTCTGTCAGAACACGTCAGGAGTATATGCATTTAATGATTAATACCTCTGAGTTTGTAGCTATAAATAGTATACTTACAATTTTGTAAAGCTGAAGTGTCCAGATCATTGTGATTTTATTAATAAAAACTCCTGGAGCACTAAGGAGCACAGCCCGACACTTGTGCTCATCTCCCTTGGTTGAACCTCTGCCTCTCCAGTGATTTAGCAGATTGATAACATAGTTTTGCATCAAGCCTGAGACCTAAAGCAAGTCATGAGCTCCTCAAATCACACTTGTGCTTTTAATTGCTTCTTGCAACCATTTAATTTCTCATCTTTATAGCCTCCTTTGGTAGCACAGGTGCCTCCCTTGTTTCCACCGCTGTCACAGAGGAAAGCAGGACATCAGAAATCCTGACTACGCTGCAGACAGGTAAAGGGCATTTGCACAACATGCTACATAGAAAAATGTGGTTATGAGCATTGGTTAGGAGGGGACATCCATAGAGATGCCAAGAAACTTTGCAAAATCATCATTTCTCAGTGCAGATAATGCTTGTCTATGAATTTCATCTGCTTGGTACCAACTCACTGGCTTTCTGGCAGCACAGGCAGGTTGTCCCTGGCATTACTGCCACTACTGCCACTGGAGCTGCAAATGAGATATGCTGTGCCTGCTTCAAGGGAAGCAGAATTTGAACCACAGAATCTGAAGGAAATCATTATTTTCATTCCTTATTTCATAGAATCATAGAATGGTTTGGGTTGGAAGGGACCTTAAAGATCATCTAGTTCCAACCCCCCTGCCAGCAGCAGGGACACCTTCCACTAGACCAGGTTGCCCCCATGACTTGGGGAAAAAGCCACCCACTCTATGTTTCTCACCATTTGTAACGTTACCTATGCAGATTCTAAACCATTTATAAGCCTCCAGGTTTTGGCTTTCTTATCAAGCCAATCCAGAAGGAATATCAGGTCTTGCACGTGAGGTTTTCTGAGCTCAGACTTGGTTCTCTCCCAACCTGTGGCCCAGGATGTTGCAGGCTCAGCCCAGAGAGCTGGGAATGAGAGAGCTGGCTGCCCCTCCAGCCTTCCTCTCCTCGACAACACAGCTCCTGATGGTGATGGTGATGGTGATGCTCCACACAGCAAGGAGATGCGGTGGAGAATTGCAGGGAAAACAGATGCTGTATTTCAGTGTCAGTCCTGATGGCCTCTCCCTCCTTTCTCCAGTGGGAGAAAGACTTTCAGTCAGATAAGCCAGGAATAGATGTAATAAACATTTCCCTCTATACAGACAGAATAGTCTTTGTTATTTCACTTTTTGAACTTCTTAATCAAGTTGTCAAAGCACACCTTGTTGCGAAACTACCTACCAATACATGTTACTGCCAAATTGCAACACTCGTTTCTATTTTTGCTCCTCACACTCCTTTTGCTTTTCTCACTCTTGGTGAAAGAAGTCTGAAACTTTTTAGTTGCTTGTAAAGCAAAGCATTAACACAAAGATCCATTTCCAAGCCATGTCAGTGGATGTGGACAGGTTCCCCTTTCCACAAAGCCTGAAGGCAATTAAATTAATCAAGAGCTGATTTCAATCATCCAGCCTTACCTGAATGCTCTCTGCCTCTCATTTCTGTGGTTGTCCCTTCTTCTCACAGCCTCTGAAAATACTGCAGAATCATCCATTTCACCTGCCTCACCTACAGGAGATGGTGTTACCTCAGCTCCAGAAATCCCTTCCACAGCTACTGAAGGTAAGAGCAGATACTATGCCATAAAATCTAATAATAATAGTGTTTAAGTTGGTTTAAAATAGATTACATTGATAGGATTACAATAACTGTACAAAGTTTCAGATCAGTCAACTGCTAATTAATCATCTCAGTGAAGAAAGAATCCAGCTTCTAAAACCTTCACTTCTTTAATATTGAGCTGTCAAAGTTTAGGAGATACATAATTATGAATAATTTGGGACTTAAAGCTGCTTCTACTTTTTTGCATAATTTAGGTATCAGCAAAAGTGCCCAAATATCAGTGCTTTTGTCTGGGCAAAAGTGGATATTTTATTGTGGAGACCATCAATGAATAAATCAAATTGTGACATCTTTACCTTAAAGATACAATAATCTTCGATAGTTCTTTCCCAGTCCTAAAGATGGAGATGCCACCACCAGACACAGTACCAAAGCTGGTTCTGTAGACTTTCCCACTCATCCCTGTTGGACTCTCTAACCACAGAGGTTGATATTTCTCTCCAATAATGTATTTCTTTAACCCTTTCACAGTCCCTTCAACAGTCCTGTATTCCTCCTTGGCACCTACTTCGATAAATGAAGAGACTGAGGCAGTATCTACAACAGGAACCCTCAGCACAGCTTCCAAAGACAAAGGTATAGTTGTAAAATCATTTCGAGTCCAAGTAAGCTAAAGGAAAACCATATTGCATGGAAAATGAATGCAATGAAGTTTTAATAAAGGGGGCTAAGAACATGTTGCTTCATTGTCCAGTAGCTAAGAAGCTTAAAAATCCAGATTTTAAATACTGATTTATCGCAGTCTTATGTGGTGATAGAGACTCAGGTAGAAGTACAAGGGATAAGTCCATGTTTACTCTCTGAAATAAAGCTTCCTGTATTTTTGCACTTTTCTAGCAAAATGACAAATCCAGATTGTTTAAACCAAAAATTTTATTCTGGTTCACATCCATGTTTGGTCATTATTGCTCATTGTTCCTATTTGTTTTGGTTTTTTTTTTCCTCAAAGCTTCAGCAGTTTATTCTGTCACGGAAATTGGTAACTTGATCACATCTGCCCCAGCCACAGACAGTCCTAAGCTATTAACAACTCCATCATCACTGCCTGCCATGAGTGAAGGTAAGGAACTGTTGGATACAACCTGTGTGCCCTGCATTGTTCAGGAGAAAAAATGTTGCTGCCTGGTGTCACCACACCAGGCACCATTTGGGGCTCAGAAAGTCCTTGAGCTGCAAACAAGTGGGAGGTAGGAGATTATTTTAGCAGGGCCTGTAGTGATAGGTCAAGGGAAAATCATTTTAAACTAAAAGAGGGGAGATTCAGACTAGATATAAGGAAGAAATTTATTACAATGAAGATGAAACCCTGATTGCCCAGAGAGGTGGTAGAAGCCCCATCCCTGGAAACATTTGAAGTCAGGTTGGACCTGAGAACCTGGTCTGGTTGAGGATGTCCCTGCTCACTGCAGGGTGGTTGGACTAGATGGCCTTGAAAGGTCCCTTCAACCCAAACCATTCTAAGATTCTATGATTCTATAAACCTCAACTTACCTTCAAGCTTGTCCTGTCCATATACTCCTCAGTGCCTCTTAGTGGTTCCCAGTGGAGAGGGGAAATTAACTTCTGCAGAGCTCTGGTCCAGCCCTTCTTCAGCGCTGGTCATGTTGCAATGTGTGTACATATATCCCATCTTTTCCTCATTCTGTTTGCTGGGACAACACTTATTCTGGTATCTGTTTTGTAAGACACTTTGCAAATTTTAAGTGAATGAGTTGTTTTAACTAATATATGAATTAATTTATTAGGTATTAAAAAAATCTTAAAACCAGAATTTCACCACACAGGGCCATTTTGTATCAGCCATCAGCTGAGCTGGGACCTTCCTATCCAACATATGCTGTCCTACCTCATCTTCTAATGAAGCAGAAATTGGCAGCATCAATAGGCTTTAAATTCCTATGCAAATCTTCACCAGGGGAGATGACTATGTGTACTTTGCCTCTGAACTTGAGAGATATTTTCAAGACACACAATGAGTTGGACACTATATTTAAAGTTCTTTTATTGATGGACATTTTCTTCAGTGCCTACAGTCGCTGTTTTAGCTCTCTGTGGACTCCGGGGAGCAGAGGAACTGGTGGCCATCCTCTTTAGAGCCCTCTTCAGAATAGTGTATGACACTTCCCACATAAACTAAATTCAAAACTTTCCTCAGAGCTCACGATTTTCAAGCCTATTGTATTCTTGATCCATTCATTCAAACTCTCCCCATTATCTCTAACTTTATCTTAAATGTGCAATCACCGACTGAGCAGCTGAGGTCTCTTTAGGGCCAAGGAGAATAAGCAGCTCCCGTGTATCACTCTGAGAGCATGACTGAAACTAGCTCATTGTAGCATTAACATTTCTAACTTCCAATTTTTCCTTGGTCCTTCTGTGCCAGCAGGAAGGATGATTTTGCCCTTGTGCTTTGGTTTTTCTCATTCCAATGAGTAGCCCGTTCCACCTGTCTTTATGGAATTTCAGCTTGTTGATTTTTGACATTTATTCAGTTTATGAAGATCATTTTGAATTTTCATCATGTCCTCCAGAGAGCACACAGATCTTGTCTTTCCTTCTGCCACTCTCTGTCCTGTTGCAGTTCCACTAGCAAGGACTGAGGATCTCACCACAGTAAAGAAGCTGTGGCTGTTCAACACCCACACCATCTGTTACTCCAAGATGCTGCACAACATGACAAACAATTAGGAAGGCAACTGATAACTCCTCTCTTTACAACTTTTTTTTTAACACTGCTTGTCTTCTACAGACTTATCTGTGCTGTCTGAAGTTGAGAGCTCTGACTCAACACCAGTGGCAGCAGCACTAGAAAGTGTAATACAGATTTCCTTACTGCTCCACCCATTAACCTTATTTCATAGAATCATAGAATCCCAGGATTGGATTGGAAGGGACCTCAAAGATCATCCAGTTCCAACCCCCCTGCCATCAGCAGGGACACCTTCCACTAGACCAGGTTGCTCAAAGCCTCATCCAATCTGGCCTTGAACACTTCCAGGGAGGAGCATCCACAGCTTCCTTGGGCAACCTGTTCCAGTGTCTCACCACCCTCACAGTGAAGAACTTCTTCCTAATATCTCATCTAAACCTCCCCTCTTTCAGCTTAAACCCATTTCCCCTTGTTTTGTCATTAACTGCCCTTATGAAAAGTCCTTCCCCAGCTTTCTTGTAGCCCCTTCAGGCACTGGGAGGCCACTAGAAGGTCTCCCCGGAGCCTTCTCTTCTCCAGGCTGAACAGCCCCAACTCTCTCAGCCTGTCCTCACAGCAGAGCTGCTCCAGCCCTTGGATCATCCTGGTAGCCCTGCTCTGGACTTGTTCTAGCTGCTCCAGGTCTCTCTTGTGTTGAGACATTATATTCAAACAATATTTTTGAACAATATTTCGAACAATATTTTCATGTTCAAGATCTAGGATCTATCCACCCTAATTTCTAAAAACATTGTCTTAGAAATGAGCAGACACATCTTCAGCACAGCAAAGAAGAAATTTCAGTCAGTGCTTTTTCTACCTTTTTCCTGCCAGTCATTTCACTTTCATAAGGATAACAATGAAAACTTTCCTGCTCAGAAGAATATTTTGCAGAGCTTTGGTCAGATTTTACTGCTTGCCTTACTTGTCCAGGCTGGGCTCTATTCCAGCTGAATGAGAGAAGTGTGCATTTCTGTGCACACACCAGTGAAAGTGAGAAATGAGTGTGGTCCCTTGAGATTTACTTTTATTTGCTTGGCTTTTAGAAATTGAACGTGAATTTCTTAAATGAGTGATCTGTTGACTATTCTGCAGGTTTAAGGAAGCCAGTACATGGTGTATATATGGTTTCCTAAGAATACCCTCATTACTATGGAACTATGTGCTTGTAACTATGAAGTGCTTTGCCTGTGTCTACTCAACCAAGTATTTGAGCAACCAGTTTCATATTATTTAGGCATACTGTGTGTAACAGGTATGCTGTTGAATGGTTAAAGGGGGAAAAAGGCTCCTCTATAGCTGTAAATAATAATCTCATTAGTATTATTTGTACAAACTGTAGGTAAACTGGCCTTTGGGTTCAAAACTCAGAAAAACTAACTGTTCCCTAATTCCTTTTATTATATTCTGCACTTAACTAAGCACAAATCATTGACTTTGAAGAGATGCAAATACTGATTATTTTCTTTTATTAACTTGCTGCAAGTAAAAAGTTGTCTTTCAGCTGTCTGTAGACACCCACACAAGAAAACATTAAAAGTTCTTGGGACTGTTATTCAATCAGTCCTTTATTTTCTGAAAAAGTACCCCAAATAAATCTCAGATTGATGTTCATACTTCAGATTAATGAAATATGTCATTTACTTAGAAACTTTAATAGGAAAGATGCCTCCTTCCCCATAAAGCCATTTTTAATATCAGCAGAATCATAATAAATTTATTTCTGCCTGTAACTTAAGTCAAGATCTGGATCTAGATATAGAATTTTTAATATGCCTCTTTCTTACTATTCTCACTTGGATTTAGAAAGCTAATGTAGTGCAGTTCTTAAACTTTTTATTTAACATTTTTCACCATCACTGCTGAATACTCAGTGCCTGGATCAACAGGTTAATTATCTTTTGTCTTAATTATCTTTTTTTCTCCCTGAAATCATATTTGGCAGTCTTGTAGAAGTTTAGACCTAGATCTTGGGAAGTGAGCCAAGCACCTTGCTGCTGGCATTTCTTTACAGGCAACATTTGCAGGAGCAAATGATAAGCCTGGTACTCAGATGGAAGGAGCTTTGATCATGGTCAGCAAAAAGGAATTAAGGAGAAAGACAGTCCTAGGAAACACAGCTCTCATTCTGAACAGATGTGTATTAGTTGGTTACAAATAGCTGCCAGGTGACAGCAAAATGCCCCAAAATGAAAACCTCATCATCACCGACCCACCAAGGAGTAAGACAGGTGTGTATACTTGGTACAGTTTATGATGGCCACAAACTAGAAGGAACTCAATTATGTTGTTGGCACAGTGTCTCTGATTTCTTTCTCTGAAAGAAAAATACACTCTAGGCCCATAAAACTAATTTGGAACTTCAGATCTCTAAAAGCCTTTCCCTCTGAAACTGAGATAAATGTGTGGAGTACTCTGTAAGTACCCAGCTCTCAGAAATGAGCCTGGGCTGTAGAAACAGCTCTGCTACTATTCTGGGGAAATGATGCTGTGCCAACCATCTGTTATGCCAGAGGGTTAGCAAGGATGGGAAAAGAAGCTGAACCAGACATTATTTAAAGGAAGAAAACATCAAAAAATCCCAAACCATACCCCTTAGATTGCAAGGTACCCCAGGAAAAGGCTGGCTCTGGGTATTTGTGTTCATCCTTTAGACAATACAGATGAGAATGATGGTAAAGCAAAGGTAGAAAACCTTCCCTCTACTGCACAAAGTGGGGAGAGGTGGCAGCTGGCTGCATGGGTGAGGATCATTTTTCCCAGAGATCAGCACATTGTGGAAGAAGACTATGTCCATGCTTGTTGGGTATTGCATGTAGATAGATGGGTTCAAGCATTTATGTCTATCGTACACCAGCACTGAAATTCAGAGGAGGTTCCTTTGTCAGAGCAGACCATGCTGTGGGCTACCTGCTCCTGTCTGCACTGGGGTGGTACTTGGCCTGAAGACAGGTTGTGTCACCACCTCGGATGACCACCACTGACACAGGACCACCTCTTTCTCCACAGCAGACACCTCTGCCCTGTCCCTGCGACTGGCAGATGGCAACAGCCGGTGCTCGGGCCGCGTTGAACTCTATCACAACGGCAGCTGGGGAACGGTCTGCGACGACGCCTGGGAGCTGGTGGATGCCGAGGTGGTCTGCAGGAGGCTGGGGTGTGGAGAAGCTCTGCTAGCTGTGTCTGAAGCCCAGTTTGGTCCAGGTTCTGGGAACATCCTTCTTGATGACGTGCAGTGCAGAGGGGATGAAGACAATCTGTGGGAGTGCTCCCACAGAGGGATCGCTGTCCACAACTGCCAACATAAAGAAGATGCCAGTGTCATTTGTGCAGGTACAATAGCTCAGCTCTCCTAAATTATTGCTTCGTGAGCTATGTAAGCTTGCTGCCATCTACAATTTTAATGCACAACTTGTTTCTATCAGTGAAATTATTTCAGGCTTGAAACCAAGACCTAGGAGAATTGCTGCGTTTTACCACATTTTTTCTTTTTGTTAATTCAAGCAGTTTATTCACACAGGTTTGCATTTAAATTTTTTATTGTAGTTCTCAAATCCTTTGGTTACCTGGAATACCATTGTCAATCTTACCCGATGCCATTTCCTACTCTATTACCTGACTGCTTTACATATTACCCTTTCAATCATAATTTTACATCATCACTCTTATATTTCAGTCCTCCTAGTCCTAATTTCCCATCAATTATGAACTTTCACCAGTAAATAAAACATCCTTTTCTTGTGTTTAATAGGAAAACATTTTTACTAACTTCCTTTAGGATTTTTCCAAATCAATTCCCAGTTTTCCAGCAATTCTGTATTCTCACTGGAAACACGTACACAGTTGGAGAGCCCGAGTGCAGTCCCTGTGTGGCCAGTGCCACGGCAAGTGGTGGCCCACAGGCAAAGCTCATCCATGTGGAGGGCACTCCACGAGCCTGAAATGACCCAGATGAAACCTAACTGGCTGAAATGGGTTGTGGATGAGACCTGGCACCAAGAATGACGGTTTACAGCTTATTTGGGGACACCTTTCCCTGGGGAAAAATCAAAGTAAATTTTTAATAGAGTTAGGTTTTGCAGTAAACACCTCAAGTGGAGTTAAACACGTGACCCAAGTAAACACATGTCTCTTTGGTGAGTATGTTCCACACCCAAAGCAATTAAAGTTTATACCTGCAAGGTAACTGCAACCATTAACACCTGACATTTAAAAAAAGGGCTTGCAGCCTTCTCTTGGTGATGATGCTTCCAGAGATTAATGGGTTGTTCTCTACCACTACTACTTATTTTTATTATTATTATTTTTTATTTTTCACATAGTAACTGAAGAATGTTATTAAATATCTTGTAGTAAAACTAGAAATTTACTTTTCTATTTCCTTTCCTAGAGCCAGTGACTCCACTGGTCACAACAGAGCCTGTTCCAGCTGGTGAGTTCTCCTTGGATGGGTTTTGCAAAGCTTTCACAGCTGATATATTTTATATAGTAACTTAAGCACTGGAAAGGAAGGCAAAAATTTTATAGGTAAAAATTTCAAAGCAAATAAATGCATGGAAGATGAGTTTCTGAGATACTCGAGGCTTACCTAAGAGTTTTGCTGTTAAAGAATGCTGGTATCAATAGGACTGGTTATATCAGCCATGGACATACACATCAGAGCCTGAAAGAGGAAAAAAAATCTTTATATTTACTCCTAGGTGTATATGGCACACTATGAGAGTAAGGATTTGTGATGAACTGACACAATATAACTTGTTACAGCAAGATTAATTTAATGGCTTTTCCACCTTCTGTGCAACACAACAAAGTTGGGTTTTGCTATTTGATAAATGCACCTGGAAAGCCCATTTCTGAGGCTGCTGAATGTCCATATGTTTCCCTCTGCTTTTCCAAGACATGTCCCTGAGACTGGTGAGCGGAGAGGATGTGTGCTCAGGACGCCTCGAAGTCTTTCACAACGGGAGCTGGGCCACCGTCTGCGATGATGGCTGGGACATGAAGGATGCCGCGGTTGTGTGCAGGCAGCTGGGTTGTGGAGATGCTGTCTCAGCCAAAATCGATGCCTTTTTTGGGGAAGGCACAGGAGATATTCTCCTGGATGAGGTGGCGTGCAGAGGGGATGAGTCCTCCCTGGAGCAGTGCTCTCACAGGGGGCTGGGCATGCACGACTGCTACCACAAGGAAGATGCTGGTGTTATCTGTGCAGGTACTCACCTTTTCCATTTTATTTGATGTGAATTAAGTTTGCTAAGCTGTGCATGCGAGCTGGTATGGGTGAAAGGAGGAACCGGTGGCTGTGCAGGGACAGAGGAGGCCGGTGAGAGCAAAGAAGG